GCTATTGAGCACGCTATTGAGCACGCTCTTGAGCACGCTCTTGAGCACGCTCTCGAGCACGCTATTGAGCACGCTATTGAGCACGCTCTTGAGCACGCTCTTGAGCACGCGGCAACAAGCCTTTAATCCTAATAACCTGCAACATGCATAGATTGTCACCAGAATTGTCAAAGACTCAAAGGTTGTATTGTCATATGCACGAAGCCACAGAGTAGAGATGGCAATGCAATTCTTCTGACCTGAGCTCCTCCAACAATACAACGTATAATAAAATACACAAATACAAAATAGTGCAAAAAGTCTATATACATTTCCATCACATCATCACCTAGTTTCTACCTAATGTACAATGATGTATAATGTTTGTATAATTGTTAAGCTATGACGTTTGTATTTTGCTTTTGTCTTTGCTTTAAGCCCTTCGGGGCATTTCTTGTGATTTGGGGCCGTACAGTAAGACATGTTGATTTGATTTGAATATGATATATAGATCTTACCGTGTACTCTGTGTTGTGCAGTGTCTCTGCTGGAGAAGTACTGCAGTGCAGGGTTGTCTGATGTTTGGGCAGCGAGCTCCTTTAAAGGCTCCACCTGCGTTCACACCTGTGTGCCGAGCACCCAGAGACACCTGGAGAACCACGAGAGGTGGCTTCAGGTCGCTGCGTCCGTCTCTGCTGCCGTGCACCTGCAGGGCATCGCTCTCACCGGCTGGCAACGGTAAATCACATCGATCAATAAAGACTGAAGCTTCCTTTGTGCTCCAGTCAGTCCTCTCAGTGAACACAGAGCTACAGATCAGATGCACGCTGAAGGCTCTTTGAGCATCTCTCACTGATCCTGATGTTATGTTCAATGTCTGTTGTTTGTTGTTCATGTGTTGTGTCTTGATGTCTGTCTGTTGATGTTACACGAGGAGCTGCTGTGATGCAAGCACCATTACAGTATTATCGTATCATATCGTAATAGACACATTTCTCTTTTTCATTTGTTTCTCGAACATTATGTCCATGTGACGTTAAGACACAGCTTGCTATACGATGTGCTTGCAGGTACGACCACCTGTCCGTGCTGTGTGAGCTGATGCCCGCGGCGCTCCCCTCTCTCGCAGCCTGTCTGCAGACGCTGATCCTGGGTCAGTTCAGTGCCGATGCTCAGAGACACGTGACAGAGAGACTGGGAATCCCCTCAGTGGAGGTGGAGGACATCGGGAGGTAGGAAGTACTTTATTCATCCCAATTTGGGAATTTTTTGTGATGGGAGGTCCACAATCGTTCTGGTGTACAACATCCTGCACAATACCGCCCCTCCACCTCTTAACTCATCGGTTACTCAACGTAGCAACACCAGACTGACCACTAGAAACACCACACGTGGTCATCAGTCATCAGTCATCATTCTCGGTCACAGCAAAACAAAACTGGAACTCTCTACCCACTCAAATCAAAGACATACAGACACATAGCACTTTACAGCTCATAAGAGAACTACTCCTGCACACACGTCTGTGTTGGATATGACGTGTTACATGTTGTGATCATGAATGTTGTCCCTGGTTTCTGTTGTGTGATTGTGACGTGCTATATGTGACATGTGTGTAGCAACGTGTGTTGTTTATTGTTCTCTTTTATCCTTTCGCCTCTATCTACTCGTCTTCCATCCTTTCTTTCTAACTAATGCTGTTGATATATTGTGATTTTAAAAAGGTGTCTATTATCATCTGGCCGGGGACAACAGCTGGAAATTAGCAATGTTGGCTAAAGCTCCCCGTGTACTGTTCTTTGTGATGGTTGATCAATGGGGACTGTCCACGGCACTATAAAGAAATACCCTAGACTAAAAACATTGTTTTATGAACTACACTGAGTGGTGCAGGGATTTGTTTGTAGGCTAACCCAAAAACACGTTCAGAAGACCATTGACTTCAAGACGAGGGACCAGGAACTGCTGACTCATTCCTGCACCTGCTCTCTCGTAGGTATCTTTAGGTTTTGATAGTATTTTGCCCCATGTGTCTTCAGGACCTCTGCAGACGACTCTCTGTTCCCAGGACGGAGGCTGGCGGAGTTAACCGTGGAGCTCAATGCGCTGCTGAACTCGGACGACATACGATTCTTTGACAACAACATGTGAGTTATGGGCAGACTTCCCATTTTAACGAAGCCAAAATAGTCCGAAAAATATCCCATTGCAGCTACCAACGCAAAAAACAAACGCCTATTATTCCCAAGGCCATCGATACCACTCTAGTGCCTTTTATATAGATATGACAATACAGCCCAAAGATGTTTTTTGTTCTTATCAAACTGATGTTCAAGTATTAATTCTCCTGATACATTTGGCTAAATTCAGATATTTGATGCTATGAAAAGGAACTTCCTGATTGACAATTTTGATTCTCTCGAAAGTGAAGGTATCTCGAGTATTTCACGCTAATGTATATTGCGCGAACATATTCAAACTATTTTGACTTCACATCTGTAGAGTAGAAGAAGTAAGCCACGTGACACACCTTTCTACATGTATTAATCCATGTTAAAGGCATGGTACATCTTCTCGGAGAATAAGCTAATCTCCAAACTGTTCCTATACCCTTTGTAGTAAATGAACTAAAAGGGTTATTCTTTAGCTACCTGTGTATGATTACAGCCTGTGCTCCTGCAGGTACGTCAGAGGATGGTTCAGCCCGTTCCACAGACAGAGGAAGATGGTCACCTCCCTCATCACCCGGCAGATTCACAGCCAAGCATCAACGTGACGATCTTTTATTTCATTACACAGCTTTGCCTTTCATTAATTTCAACATATTCTGAGTTAGAAATTCCTCATTTTCAGTTATTTTGACACAATTAACGCTTGTAGTTTCATGTCTTGTTACATAAGAATAGACAATATTTGTTTATCAAATCAAATCAGGTTTTATTTATATAGCACATTTTAAAACGATTTTTGGTCGAGCCAAAGTGCTGTACATGCAAATAATGAATAACACATTACTACGATCGCAAAACAGAAGACAATAAATTACAACAGCAAATCAAGTTTAGTGTAATTATGGGAGAATTACTATTCGTGTGGTACTACTGCCTTATTAGGCCCATATTGAGCATATTAAAACCCAAACTCATCTACAACAACGTCCTTACTTAAAATAAATAAGCACTAATTTGAGGGTTATTGAGGAAAAGCTCTTAGCTAATGACCTAGTACTTGTAGAATATGGTCATGTTGAATAAGGCATTAATAAGTGTTTTATAATGACTAATAAAGTGCCAGTATACTGCTAATATGCATGTTAATTAACAACTAGTTGATGGTGAACATGTGTGGTGGCGTTTTAATCCGTGTCTACATTTAAAAGACACTTCTCTGTCGGGGTTGTGGGTTTTGTGATTGTGTTGTTGTTGTTGTGGTTGTGGGTTTCAAACAAATTTAGCGGAGATCGTTGTTGAATCAGATGAGCTTTATTCATTGGTCCAGACGGAATAGAAACAGGACACATTTCCTCACCTTAATATAACGTGTTACCGAAATCCCTTCTGCTTTCAGGTATTTGGCTACGATCCAGGAGAAGGTGGAGGCTTTGAAAGAGGAGATGGTTCGTCTTTACCCAGATTCAACAGCTGAGGAGTGGATCGAGGAGCACGTCAGCCCTGTGGTGGCTCCTCTGCAGAGGATCATGGAGGATTTCTCTGCCTGTGTGACCGAAACGCAGCCTTAGAATGTTTTACCAGCTCAATATCAGACTGCTTTTTGATTCATTTCAATGTTGATTTGTTGATTTTTTGCAACCAGCACTTTAAGTGGCAACACATCTGTTTTAGTTCTACCAAATGGTGTAATTGTGAGTGTTGTAACGGCAAAAACAACCTGATTGCTTTTCATTTACCTCTAAGCCTACTGACTACAAATGTGGTGACTTATTCAGACAATTAGGGGTAAAAGCAAGAAATCAGGGTTGTCGAAATTACAGTATAATAACTTTAATAATTCTAATAAATCATTTGTTGTATTAAAGCAGTTATGTTTCCCAAAGTCAGATTGCAACTAACTAGCATTTCAAGATTCAAATGGTTCATTTCCACTTGTAAATCTGCATTATATTGCGTAAAAAGCATATTGTTCACTGCCATGTTAATACAAATATTAAATACTTGAAAAATCCCGCTTTAGGGTAAATTTTTCCCTGAAAATAATGTGTTTGCGATTTACTATTATCCTTCAGTTCATCATATTTCAATATTTTATCTGCTTGACAGTCCTAATTTCAATATATGATATCACATTTCATTTTGAACGCTTGCATTGAGCCTTGATTGTCCCATGGCAGACAGAATTGCATTGTAAAAGCCAGGCTTATAGTGAGCGAAGTCTCCTTTTCTGACGTTGTGCAGTTTACATTTGCTTCATACTTAAGGGTTAAGTATAAAATAAATGTCTAGTGCCATTTAAAATGAACAGGAGTGAATGCAAGAGCAAACTGATGAATGTGAATTGCACAAACTGTTAAGGAAATAATACAAAAATGGGACTTTGGGTTTAGTTATAAAATCATTTTTATATAATTCCTTCCAAAACATCAAAATAAACAAAGACTAATAAATCAACAATCACAATTCTCATTTTCTTTCTAAGAGAACAGAAGACACTGGCATTAATCTAAAGTAACGGTAAAGTCTGGGGGAAAAAGGTCGAAATTTAACAATTCGACATTAAGAAGTTATTAAGAACTACAGACACCATTTTATACACAATAGCCTACAGAAACAACGGGTATAGTTTGCCTGAGATTCAGTCTTTGGTATTAAAAAAAGAACAGAAAAACTACCATAAGTCAAAGCATTTCACTTAACACTGAATTGAGCCATGAAAATCACTCCTGCTTGATTACAGTTTGCTATACGTTCATCTCAACATGCTAAAGGTGATTATTACCTGGGTGGTCCCACAACACTCTTGAGACAAAGCACTTTTCATTCACACCCATAAACACTCATTAGAGTTCAGTAGGAAGGCACAGTTAATCTGGAGTGTATTCCCAAACAGTAATTAGATCAAAAAGCTAAGTTATCTTCATTTACTGAGAAAGAACGTTTTTACATATTTCGTAAAATTGTTCGAAGGTTTGACACAACTATGGATGACAACACATTTAAAAAAGGGTCTAATATGTAACATTTCCACATTACATTTCTTAAAACAAGACCTATGTTATATATTTATTTGAGATGTGTATATTCAGGGAAATGTGTCATTTCTCCTGTTAAGGCGTCACATTAGCATGAGTCAGCGTTGTCTACCAGAAGCTGTCATGAATTGACTTTTTATAGTTTTAAGTCACATTTTCAGCATACATTTTGTATATTGATGGGTTTTAACTCTATTTTTTAACCAGGTGAAATATATTTTAGTAAACAGACACCTGGACCTTAAATTACCAAAGAAA